GAAGGACTAGGGGAGACATGATAACAGAGTTCCAATATCTGAGGGGCTGCCACAGAGAGGAGGGGGGCAAGCTATTTTATAAAGCACCTGAAGGCCAGACAAGTAATAATGGATGGAAACTGACCAAGGAGAGATTCAACCTGGAAATAAGGAGAAATTTCCTGACAGTAAGAACAATCAACCAATGGAACAGAAGTTTCCTTCGGAAGTTGTGGGAGCTTCATCACTTGAGACTGTCAAGAAGAGACTGGACTGCCATTGGTCAGAATGTTATTAACAAGTTAACAGTAGTCAAAATATGAAATGACATTTCGTACCTTCAACATTGGAAGCGTGTCATTTAATATGGCTAGTGAATCCATGAGCATAGGCGAATGGTCCAACCACTCCTGGGCTTTTTGTGTTAGATCGGCCATCAGTTTCAATGTTGAATTGGACTTACAGAATTGAAACAAACAAATCAAACATTAATATATTCTATAGGTAGGCAAAGAAGTGATTTTAAAGATAAATGCTTTTAGCACAAAGTTTTGTTTTCATGGTATCATAAAACTAAGGACTATAGCTAAAAAAACAACAATAGCTCTGAAGACAATTATGCTAGTACAAATGTTCAGAATTTGAAACTGAGAGAATTTAGTTTAATTAAATTAAATTCCTCTCTCATTTAATTTAAAAGGAATAATTGAGTTGCTGTTTTTGTAAAATTTTGTAAATGAATTATTCTAGAAACTAATAGAATTTTCCATGAATCAGGTCTTCAAATTTAGATTCTTCTTATTTATCAAGAATATTCTAATAACAGTGAACTGTTTTTAAATTTTTTAAAACGCGGCATTACCTTTTCCATGATGGCTCGTGTTTCAGGAGTGTCTGGGGAATACAGAATCCGCCCACGCAACATGGGCTTTAAGAAAGACCAAATCAAAGCTCCCGAAGGTGTCTTAACCAAGTCCAGAAACAAGGAGACACAGAAAGGTGCTACGGAAGAGACAAGAAAAATATTGGACCAAGCAACTGAAGCACACCTCATTCAGCCAAATACACTGGTCTGTTAGCATCCTAATGGATCCTCTCACAACCTTGTGGTCCACATACTAATGTAATACTTTTGACAAAACTACCCTCCCCAAAAATCTCCATTTGCTTAATTCAGCCAGAAAGACTTAATGTTTAATTAAATGAAAATTTGGAAGGACTACCTGCCAGTACAATGTCACTTTTCCTTGTATCTATATAGGATTTTGCTGTGCCAAAAAAGGTTGCTCTCAAGGCCATGCAGAACTATCACAATGAGTGAGACTCTTAGTCTTTCTCCAGTGATAGATTTAATTCTGCTTCCTACTTGATCCACTTGACATATCCAAGTAGGACTAAGCCACAAAACAAGGGCTATTTTTTTTTATTTCAGTGATCATATTTTTTTAAAAAGAAAAAAAAAGCACAATTTCTATGTTAATTATGAAATTAGAATAAGATTTGTCATCCCACATTGTAGTTTAGAAAATGGTAGGAAGTTAAAAAGTTTTTCCAAGTTAATTATATTGAACACAAGAATTCCCTGATGTCTTTGCTGTACAGGTAGTCCTTACGACAGTTAATCTAGTGACTGTTCAAAGTTACAACTGCACTGAAAAAAGTGACTTATGGCTGTTTTTCACAGTTACAACCTTTGCAGCATCCCCACAATCATGTGATCAAAATTTGGATGCTTGGCAACTGACTCGTAGTTATGACGGTTGCAGTGTCCCAGGATCATCTGATTACCTTTTGCAACCTTCTGACAAGCAAAGTCAATGGGGAAGCCAGATTCACTTAACAGCCAGGTTACTAATTGAACAACTGCAGTGATTCACTTAACAAATGTGACAAGAAAAGTAATAAAATGAGGCAAAACTCACAACAAATTTCTCACTCAGCAACATAAATTTTGGGCTAAATTGTGCTCGTAAGTTGAGGACTACCTGTATTTTACAGACTATACGTAGATTTCTACAATCCCAAAAAATGACCAGATCTAATAAATGAGAAAAAGAACTTGGCTTGTGTAGTTTTAATTGTGCTGATTATATTATGCTGTTGAAAACAATATAATGAAATAAAAAAGGATTATCCCAGACTCTCACTAACTTTATTTCTGCTTGGTTATGCTGAAAGGATACCATTAGAGATGTTGCTTCCACTGTCAAACTTACTAGTATCAGACGGAATACTATATTTCTTCATAAGATGTTGAACATTTTCATCTTCATTTGCAGAAGAATGGTGAACACTCTGCTCCTCAAAATCAGGTAGTAGAGATTCAAAAAACAAGGGAGTGATTTCATGGTTGCAGAAAGTTTTTGATAAAATGTTCAACATTCTGCTATTTATTGTTAGATTGCTAACCTCAAATAAAGCCTGTGAAAATAAATAGAAGACAAAATGACAGAAAAGAAAGTAAATCAAAGAAGAGAATTAATTGAACATTGGACGGGGTTTCTCATTGAGATCCAGAGGCCTCCCACCCTCACATCTTTCAGGAAGACCTTATAATCTGGCTGTTTTTCCCCAGGTTTCTTAATGTAGGATGGGTAAAATCCCTTGTTAGATGTTGACTCATCCTTCCATCCTTCCCAGGTGGGTAAAATGAGGACCTAAATTGTTGGGGGCAATATGCTGATTCTGTAAACTGCTTAGAGAAGGCTGTAAAACACTGTAAAGTGGTATATAATTCTAAGTGCTATTGTTATCACAGGGCAACAATTTTTGAATCAAGATACCTCAAATGAAGTAACTTACAGAACACATCCAAAATTTGGAACCTATTTTATTCTCCTGGAATTAAAATTTGGCAATTTTTTTGATTGCTTCAGGGCTGCCACAGAGGCATTTATGTTTAGTAGACAGGTCCTTCTCTAGCCTTCCTGAGTACACTGGCCCCTCCTTTAGCTTCTGGTCCCACCCTAGTCATCCATTGGTCATCAAGTGAAGTCATCAAGTGAAGTCATCAGCTGCCAGAGGGTGACATCAGGCCCCAAGATCCGAGAGACATGTGGAGTTACTTCTGAACATTTCTTAAAATTATTTTTCCTCACTTAGAGACAAAAATCTTGCCAAACTAAAACAACTATTTATTTGTTTATTAAATTTAGATGCTGCCCATCTTGTTTAGAAGAGACTCTAGGTGGTTTAGAGACAAGAGTAATAAGTAATAAACAAGACAGACAATGTAAAATAAAATGCAAATAAAAAGCAGAAATTGACAATATTTCTTCTCTCAAATGCTGAACTCTATTTGTTCTCTTTCAGTGTGACATTTTAGCTTCTAGTCTGTAATAACAATCCTTCCCATAATATGTTGGAACGGATAATTTAACTTCTATGCAAATTAAACAATTTCTAGACTCCTGATATTTTTCATTATTTTTTGTCATTCCAGCTTCCAAAAATTAACACATTTTAAAAACAAACCTTAGAAAGTGGTGCATGTCTTGCCATCCTCAACTTTTTCAGGGAATGAATTGCATCTAAGAGTGGATGAACATCTGATACAAGCTTCGTCCTCAAGTGATCCAAGTCTTTCAGAAGTTCTAATGCCTTATCCATAGGAATTTGGAATTCCTTAGGGAAAAACATCTAGGGAAGCCCACAAAAAGCAACATCATAATCCAAACTAAACATATTTTTAAAAGAGATACATGTGATACTTGGTATTAACTGATACCAAATAAAGCATTTAAGTTTAATTAATTCTCTTGCTCAAATCGCAATATCTCTAGACCTCCTTGGACTGAATTGGGCTTCAAAGATTATATACCAAGAGACCACATTCTCAAAAGATCAAAATTCATATTTTTGAGGGAGAGAATGGAACTATGGAAAGCAGTCTATTTTCTGCTTAGTTCAATAAAAATTGTTATTATTCCTGTATTCTCCAGTCCATGCAAAGCTCATCATGCTTCACTCTGCTCCATCCTTAAAAATAAGTCTTTCAGTATCAATATCATTTGTTAGCTCCACAACTTACCATTCCTAGTTCTACCCCTTGCCAAGAAGTCAATAATTACATTACAGTATTCATAATTAGAAGGTTCTAGGAATTATATTTCACATAATTCCAAACATTTCAATGAATCTATAGAATCACACATTTAAATATCTTCTATAAAGGAGTACATACATTGTTCAACTATAGTCTTGGAAGCACAGCAATAATTAATAGTGGCTACAGTAACACTAAGACTTTGAACAAAATCATAAACTAAATTTATTTAGGGTATTGTTTTTAAATGACTGTAACAATTACAGGTGTAATTGTTTTTTGAAATACATTATAGTTGTTGCTGTTTTTCCTATTATTTTTATTTCATTGGAAGGTTAAAAAAAAAAGTCAGAATAAAGCCACCTCCGCAGAATCTCAATTCATTCTTTCCAGGATTGTTTCAGAGCGGAAGTGAAGAGATTTGATCCTTCCACCATACCAAAGCAACCACTGAAGAGAAATAGGCTTGGAGGCAGCAAAACTATTAGGTCCTCATCTTTTAAAATCTTCAATGATAAAATGTGGTTAACCATCTGCTGCAGACCTCAGCCCAGGTAGATGAAGGGAGATCAGTGCCAGCATAGAGCAGAATGGGGGAATTAAGCACAGGCCTCCTTAGTCAAACCCAGATCCTGGTGATTACAAGGACATATCCATAAGATTTTTTAAAAGCAAAAATATGGAAATGATTCACCACTCCCTCCTCCAACAGGTTTTTTCAACTTCCCAGTCTAGCTAATCGCTCTGAGATTTCCCAATGAGATTTCTCAGAGAAGCCTTCATCAGATTTAAATCAGCTGAGCTTTTTTGTGATTAGCCAAAGGCCACCAGGTGTTGCCACCTGCAATTGCATACGAGGAAAATTCAGGCTTAAATCTAATAAAAACCCCTTTAAAGCAAAACGCATTTGCATGTGTGTAGTGACATTTGGGCCACTTTATGTATTTCATAAATACGGTATAAATAGTCTGTTTTCTTCCCTCTGCTGCTGTGTATGAAACATTCGTATTTTGCTAATGATCATATAAAGAAGTAATATGTATGTTCATGTGTTATAAATGCTACTACTTATTAACATCTTACTTTTCACTTATGAAGTTTATATGAATTTACCGGTGCTCTATAATTGTGTCTGGTATCTACAGCATGTATTGGGAAGGATCCCCATCTATGCCAGTTCCCCCCTTCCAAATGAAGCTGCTAAAGAGTCACCTGTAATTATACTCGTAATATTTTAGTTTCAGTCATGTTGGACCAGAGAGTTGCCCAAGTCACATCTGGTCCCATTGAACTGATATATCCACCACCAATTAAAACTGACTGTTGATCTTGTGGATCTCTTTCCCGTTGTGCATAGAATGGCAAATAACACCAAACACATGAAACAAACCTTATAGATGAATCTGTAGACATCTAAGTAACGCAGAAATGTGATCCCCAAAAGATAAGACTTGTAAGTCCTTTCTGCAAGGGAGAAGTTGCAGAATTGTTTTGCTATGACTTCCAGCTTAGCATCACCAGTATCCGTATTACAGGACTCCAGCTGCAGGATTTGGAACATCAGCTGTATTGGCAGGAAAGAAGCAGAGTGGTAAATACCAGGGTCTCTCTAAGAAGATTAAATTAAGCAACTCTCTTTAAAACCACTGACCTAGACCACTTAACAAAGCAGCAGATAGTTGCATCATGCAGCTTCCTAGCTTGCAAGCAAAATCAGGAATGAAAACACTCGGTTTCTTGGGGCTTTAACTTTAATACTTTCGTTTTTGTATCTTGTTATTTTATGAACAACCATGTGTTCTTTTCATGTTTCCAATATTGTTGCCTGGCCTCATACTTGCTCGGTTGGCTTAACATAGGCTTTCTTTCCCCTGTTGAATACATCTATTTTAATTCCACGGTGAAAAAGGCTATATGTGTTTACCAATGCAAAAACCTGTCCTGTGTACTTTCCAAAAGGAAAATCAGAAACATACAGCTTGATTTATTAACTCAACCCACATCAAACCCTCTGGAAGGCGTCAGCTTTCTCTCTGTGTGTAGCTGTCAGTTTGAGATATTATCTGACATTCAGCCAGTTTAGTTTTAATGATCCTTTCAATAATTATCTTTATTATCAGTAGCATCACAGGTTGAAATATTATGATTTGATTAGAAAGGAACCTACTTTATTAAACAGACAAATCGCTGAAAAAGATGAGTTGCTGATACCAATCGTTCAGTCACACCTGATTTTCTACACAGATGGGTGTGTGTGATACAATCTCTGAAAAGTCATCTAAGCGCCTAGTTATTATTCCCAAGAGACTTGCCTGTGTTTTGTTTTCCGAAAGAGGCATTTCTGTGAAAGCCCGGATACTTTGCGGAGAGAATCCTACAATATTTCTGAGATCATTCTTCAGGCCATCAGGATTTCGGAACAGATCGATGATCATATCTTTAAAACATCACAGAACAAATGGTTAAAATTAAAAAGTCTGTTTTAGTCCAGCTTTCAGAAAATACTATAAACAGAACACTTAAAAAATGATTTGCAAAAGAAAAGTCCTTTATGCTACAGAGTAATAAAGTGAGTAAGAAATATTCAAAATAAGAAATAAGAAAATATTCAAAACATTCATTCCCCTATTTAAAATTAATTTGTATTTTTATTTCAAAGAGGACCTTGATCCACAGACATTTTCAATTATTTGGTACTCACATTTAGATAGTGTTTTAAAAAATAAATAAATAATATCTTTATTTTAAAAAAGATTATTTTCATACTACTTCAATTTCATCTGAATTTCATTTCAGAAGCCTAAGAAATACATATTTTTAAAAAAAAATGTTCTATTTACTTTTTTACCAGTATTGCTGTAATTAATTAAAATTCAAAACTTAAGACATGGTTATTTTCTCATCAACAAGCTAAGAAGTCCCTATTAATGCAGACAATATTATTGGGCAGCAAATGTATTTTCTGAATAGATACGGACAGCTCATTTAAATCTCTTTAGAACAGCAATTGATTTCCTTTGGGGGGGGTGGTTTGGGTGGGGGAGGTTGCCCTCAAGTCAGCCTTGACTCTTGGCGGCTCCACTGACAAGTCCATGCAGGTTTTTTGGCAACATTTTAGTACTGCAAATGCTTTGCCTTCTTCTTCTTCCTATCGCTGAGAGAATGACTGGCTCAAAGTCATCTAGCCAACTTTGTGTTTAAGGCAGGGCTAGTTCCACAGTTTCAGTTGATTGCAAAATATAAGTCAGCAATTTGTTATGACTTCAAAAAGGCAAGTATAATTGCATCAATAAGTAAAATTACCAGTTTTGGAGAATGAAGCATTTTATGTTCATCAGATTTGTAAGCATTTCATAGAAAAATGGGATTGGAAGGGACCTTCTACTACGACTTTCTGCTCAGTCAGGAGACCTTATGCCATTTCAATCAGAATAGAGCTGGAAGGGACCTTGGAGGTCTTCTAGTCCAACCCCCTGCTCAGTCAGGAGACCTTATACCACTCCTGACAAATGGTGACCCAATCTCTTCACGAAAACTTCCAGTAACAAAGCACCCACAACTTCTGGAGGCAAGGGGTTGCACTGACTAAATGTTCGCGTTATCAAGAAATGTATCTTTAATGCTAGGTTGGGTCTCTCTCTGAGAATTCTCCCATTACTTTTTGTCTGCCTCCGATGCGTTGGAGAAGAGGCCAACCTCCTCTTCTCTGTGATAGCCCCTCAAAAGTATGGGGAGACTGCCCTCACGTCACACCCCAGTCCTTCATTTCACTAGACCAGACAGACCTAGCTCCCTTAACCATTCATCGTATCACTTAACCTCCAGATTTATCTTCTTTGTTGCTTTTCTCTGGACTTTTTTAAAGGACCTCAGCATCTTGTTTATATTGTGATGACAAGAACTGGGCACAGTGTTCCAAGTGTGGCCTCACCAGTGCCGTATTAAAGAGATACTGCTCTGCTGCATTAGGTTGGTGTTTAGGGAGCTAAGGAAAGAAAGAACCAAGAGAGCCCCATTGTCTTATGCTGGCATTTGGGGAGCTAAGGATTCTTAGGATGCCTCAGCTCCCTGAATGCCAGTCTAGCGCTCTACCCTATGAAAGAAAGAAGCTGCTTTGCTCATTTACTCCACAAAGCACAAACATTTCCTTCTCATGCTGGATAAAGAAGTTGTGCTGACACCGAGAACAATTAAGTTACTTTGCCCAGTTCAGCAGCTCAGGTTTCACAACAAGCTGAAAAGGAGACGGCTGGGATCTTTCCACGCGGCTTCCTTCTTCCCAGCCTGCTAATCTTCAAAAGAGAAGGATTGTGAGGGGCGGAAGAGGAGCGTTTGGGATACGGTGGGGAACAAAGCTGGCCCAGTGCCCTCTCTGGGCATCCAGCAGGGCAAGAGAGAGGGAGGGAATAGACATGTGGGCATCGCTGCAGCATCGCTGCAAAGTTAAGAACTGTACAGAACCAACCAGTCATCTTTAAGGGCAAATGACCAGGTTGGTTCCTTTAATTCATTACTTTGAAATGGGATTTCTAACAGGTAGTTTTTTGGGAGTCTGTTGTAACTTTGAATGGCCATTAAATGATGTGTCGAACTGATGATTACTTTTATGCAGTTTTGTACAGAAATATCAGATCATCTTTCTTGTCCTCAATTGATTTTTAGCCCCCACTTTACAATTTTCCACCTCTGATTGGAGGTTGGTAACCCAAGGCACTTCCAGGCCTATTCTCTTTCTCCTCTCAGCGAACCCTGGCAATTTATGGTGATAGAGTTTGTGGCATTTCACCCATACTAAATGAAACCTACCATTTACAACCCCCACCATTTTTTTAAAAAAAAACTATATTTTAAATGCCACAGCCATTCAAGACAAAACAAAAGTAGGATGTGTTTCTGGTTAAAAATCAACAAACAAAATTCGTAAGACTTAATCCACCTGGCTATTTTATCACATTTATTTCAATCTAAGTTCTCCATTATTTTAAAATGTTAAAGGAAATAGGCAGAAAACTGTAATAAAGAAAAATCTATTCATACATAATTGCTAAAAGCAAAGATACCTTGTTTTCTGGATTGTGGTGTAATCTTAGTGATACTCATTATTGAAGCCAAGGAAGAAATACGCTTAGAGGTATCACGGAAATATTTCAGTTGTGGGATATTTTCTTGTAACCTTTTGGAAGAAAAGAAAAGGAGTAAGCATTGGTCCTCCTAAATAGATACTACAGATCATATGCAGAGAATCTTACCACTGAATTTGTTGCAGGAGCTTTTGGGGATTCCCAACAATTATTTCCTGAAATTGTTGGGCGAGTCTTCTGTTGCTAATTAAATTGGACAGTGCCGGATCCCTTCGGTTTCTACTGGGAAGAAGCTTCTTCTGGAATTCACTTTGGCTGCACAGCTCAGCAAAAGTAACGTCAGGGAGCTGGCATGTTTGCTGCAACCATGTAATGCTCTCGAGATCACAAAGGAGGGATGTCAGGTTCTGCAGATGGGTTAGCTTTAAACAACCAGAAGAGAGACAAGATTCATCACAAATGAATAATAAAAGGCAATGAAAGAAACCTAGGCAACATCGAAGGGAAATGCTATTTCAGGACAACGATGGAAGCTTCTGCATATAATCAGGATTGGTTTCTAGGTCTAGGCAAATAAGGCACTTTGCCCAGGGTGCCAAATTTTAGAGGACATTAAAATTGAAAAGACTTCCAAAATGCACAATATGAATATAAAATATAAGAAAAAATTTCCTTGTTGCTTTGAATTTATCAATTCAATGGGACCGGATGTGACTTGGGCAACTCTGTGGTTCAACATGATTGAAATTAAAAGATTACAAGTATGATTAGAGGTGGCTCTTCAGCAGCTTCCTTTGGAAGGAAGGAACTGGCATAGATGGGGATATTTTTGAATACATACTGTAGATACCAGGCACAATTATAGAGCACCAGTAACTTCATATAAACGGCATAAGTGAAAAGCAAGGTGTTAATAAGTAGTAGCATTTATAAGACATGAACATACATTGTATTTATATGATCATTAGCAAAATACATACGTTTCATATACAGTAGCAGAGGGAAGGAAACAGACTCTTTATACTAGATGTATGAAACACACTAATCAAATGTTGCAAGTTTTGAAAAAAAAGTATTATTATAGCTATGGACCTCAGAAAGCTGATAATATTACAGGAACAAGACAAAGTGTGCCAGGAAAATACTAAGCATAACTGTAAACCAGGGATGGGCTGCTGGGGGTTCTCAGGGGTTTTGGAGAACCTCTAGCTAAGATTCTGACGCAGTTTGGAGAATCCCCAAATCCCACTCCTGCCTTGCCCTGCCAACTCCACCCCACCCCTCCCAGAAGTCCCTACGCAGCCCCTTTTGGATGCAGGTAAGTGCAGGGCGCGCACAGAGGGTCAGGGAGAACACAAAACAGGCCTACTGGAAGTCTGGGAAGGCCAGAAACGGGCCCATTTTCAGCCTCCAGAGGGCCTCTAGAGCCCAGGGAGGCCATTTTTGCCCTCCCAGAGGCTTGAGCAAAAGCCTCTGGAGCCCATGGTGCAGGAGGCCAATTAGGCCACAGACACCATGGCCACGCCCACCCAGCAACTGGGCAGAGAACCCCAAAAATAGACCACCGGAGGATTTAGGTGTGGAAAAGCCATAAGTTTCCTTGAAAGAATTTAAGCATTCAACTTTGCAGCCCGGAGGCCTTTGTTTATAAATCCAGTGAGCGAGGGGGGGGGGAGAGAACAACGGGAAGGGTGGGAAATAAAAAATGCAGGTGGGAGGGAGGGAGTAACGTTCACCCGATCCTGCCGCAGGACAAGGGCAGGGAGGAGGAACCCCCCCAAAAAACACCCCCAGGCATGGCTGGGGCGCGGCGGTAGAGAAGCCTTGTCAATGTCTGCAGGCTCTCACTTTGCTCGCCAGCATGTCCCTGACGATCGGCCATCCTCTGGCCACGTTCCAGACTCCACAGCTGATCGGCGGCTGCTCCTGAGCATGCCACTGCTGTGAATTGTGCTGCCACCTGTCAAAAGGTGAGGATCAGCTGGTGTGGGCACCGGGGAGACATCCACCAGCAAGATGGACCCCTCCATGCCTCTCCTTTCACCACCTCCACCCTCAGGTGTGGCGAGCCCTGCAATGGGACTCAACACCAAATTGCATGCGTGCACTTGTGCCCTGCAGTCACACATGGCACCTCCATCCCACCCTGGGCTCCTCCTTTTGCATTCCGTTTTCGTGCCTTCAAGTGGAGCAGAGCACAGAGCCAGGACACAGGACCTGCTTCCTTCCACCCAAAGGCTCGATAATGGAAGCAGATTTTTACAGGCAGCGGCCCAATCCACAGCAGCCGCATGCTTGGGAGCAGCTGCTCGTCAGCTGTGGAGTCTGGAACGTGGCTGGGGGTGGCCAATCCTCAGGGCCATGACGATGAGCAAAGTGAGAGCCTGCAGACGCCGACAGCGCTTCTCTACCGACATCCTGAGGCTTCCTAAATCCTGCTAGACTTTACTGACTTTTCTGGCTCCCAGGTGGATGCTGGTTACGTTTGGCCGGATGCTGGCTGGCCCACAGGCATGGTCACCCGGCCAGGGGCACAGCCTAAGCCCAGGCCACATAATGCACTGGGAGGCAGTAACTCCCAGCGCTGACTTTGCACATATTTGGTGTGTTTACATTCACTCTGTTCCCTGTTGCTCCGGCTGTTGCAAGAAAATTTCACCAGCTGTGTCTCCTGTGTGTTTCTCCCTGCTTAGGGCTGGGACAGCTTTGACATCTGGGCTCTGTGATTCCCCACAGCCCCCGCCGCCCCTGGGGGTGTCTTTTGGTTGCAGCCAGGTCCTCCTTCTCCCGTTGTCCCGAGCCAGGATCGGGTGAACTTTCCTCCCTTCTTCCCCCCCTGCTTGCATAGTCCAGCACCTTTGTCTGCATTTTTTCCTATCACCCACCTTTTTTTCCCATTGTTCCCCCCCCCCACTTACCTGCCGGAGTTAAACACAGGCATGGCCTCTGGGCTGCAAAGTTTAATGCTTCAATTCCTTCTAGGAAACGTATGGATTTTTTCTGGCTCTGCGCTCCATGCTCCACAGCCCGCCCAGGCTCTGCTTGGCTGGCTGCCTCTCATTGCCACTGATCAACTTACCTAATGCAGGAATTTGATGAAGCCAAGCGGCTCCTTGGTGGGTTCCAGATCCAAACCCGGACGTTTCCAATGGGGAGTGAGCAGAGCAGAAGGTGTCTCTTCCAGTTTCTTGTTCTGGGACTTGGGATACCGCCCTCTCCTGCCACTGCTGCCCTCTCCAGCATGCTGCCTCCATCCCCGCTGCGGCTGCAATGGCAGTGGCTTCCAGAGACACTGGCCGGTGGGGAGGGGGGCTAGGCTAATGCAAATGCTTACCTGTGTAGGCAGGAGGAGGCAGTTGCGAAGGCAAGAAGGGAGAGCATCGGAGTAGGCTGGTTTGGGGGCATGGCCAGCCAGTTGTCATTACCGGTTCAGCAACCCACGCCCAATTACCACTGCCGGTTCAGCTGAACCGGTCCAAACTGGGGGAAACCCACCTCTGCTATAGACACTCTATACTATGTACACATATGGCATATATACCTAGGATTAAATAGTATATTTTGGATGTTCAGAAGTAGTAAATAAATAGACAAAGAAATTGTATCTCGTTGAGGCCTTTGAGGTGAGGAGAGGCCAGGCAAGGCACCCTTTGATGTGAGTGATGTCAAGTTGGCCATGCCCACCCAGTCACATGACCAACCAGCCACGCCCACCAAACTAATGACTCCCCAGAACTGGTAGTAAAAATATTTGAAACTCACCCCTGATCCAAATGATACTTACTTTTAACATCAGAATATCTGGAACTGTGGCAAAAGGATTTTGAGAGTTAAAAAGAACTCCTTTTAGCTCTCTTATTTTTGGAGGAAGAGTATAATTTCCTGTAAGAAATAACACCATCTTGTCTTTTGTAGTACATTTTTATAGATTTCCACTATTACTAACAAACTCTGTAGGCATTTTGAAAACCAACAAAAGCAATGTTGTTTCAGCAAGTGTTTGTCTCTTAGATCAGTTTACTGAATGGCAACTGAGATATATTGGATTTCTACAGTTTAAAATAGTTGTGAAACATTTCTATCCAAAATTCGGGTGGGGGGATATATTGAGCTGAATCAAGCTTTAAAAGAAGGATGTAGGGGAAAAGCCCTCATGCATACTAAAAGTACTGCAGATCACTCTTTTATTTATTACTCTTTTATTTATTAAACTATTTCATGTTTCAACTCTTTTCAAACACAAATAAAACAATGTTTATATTGCCTA